TTAGCAGTGTGTTACTTGGTAATGTCTCTCTTAATTTCAAAGGAGTGCCCAGAGAGTTCGGAGCTGCGTTTATTCTTAGAAAAATAACAAAATGATAACAAATAAAAAATATCAAATAAAATAACAACAACAACTGCAACAGAAACAATAACAACAACAACAACAACAAAAACAACAACAACAACAACAACAACAACAACAACAACAACAACAACAACAACAACAACAAACAACAACAGATGATTTCTAATACAGATAGTGAGAAAACACAGTTCTACAACACTTAAGATATTGACCTATTATTCGACTATATTATATTCATGCACGTTTGTTTCTGCGTGTTTTATATAATTTTGTTCGTTTGAATCGAACTTGAATCAAAGTCTTATAAGAAAACTAATACTTTTTTATGCCACTCCTTGAAAAAATTCATTATACAAGATCAGAACAATTCGAAAAAAATTGTATTTAAAACAAATATATTTTTCTATTGTTTTTGGTGGTAAGTTTGGGGGTGGGAGAGTAGGGAGGGGTCAGCACAAGAGGGAAAAGATGAAAGACTAAACCTTTTGACAATGTAAAAGAAAGAAAATAGGAAATATCTGTCTTCAAATTCCCACATGGGTTCTGTGATTAGTAGGCCCTGAGAGGGCTTTAAAAGACTTGTTTGAAACATCCGGTAAATGGGTTGACTCTATCGGGCTTTGGGATAAGCGCATCTTTTGACAAATTTTAAAAAGACAGAAACTCCGATCTAATATTCATCCCAGAGACAGATAAAACCAATAAGTGAGAGAAAAAACATTAAAAACTCTTCAAACAAAGCAAAACCTAAGAACGCCCCTTTACAGAATCGCGCAAAGGTCGTCAGTACCACTACCCTACATTACAACTACAAAATTTTGCTGAGTCAGTGTTTTGACCCACGCTTGTAATGCCCAATGCAGTTTTAAAAGGCATCTGAAAGGGTTTTTGTTGCTTGAATCTTTTGCAACGTCGAGTCTGTTTCCACTCCAAACTCTGACCAAACCAAAGTAAGTTAACTGATGACTTATGAGGCCAAATTATCTTCTCTCCCGACCCCATTACCAATAAAATCATAAACATTCAAAAGAAACTAGATCTAGTAAACAAATGATATTATCATTAAAGCAGATCTACGTTTAACTCTTTATCTATGTAGATCTAAGTGAATTGAGTACCAAAAAGAGAAATACACCTGTATTCGTACCTCTTTTTCATTGTATCACGTGAACTTCTGCATGCAAAGAGTAGAATGCATAATGCTCTGGGTTTTATTTCTGAGATTTGTTGTCTCTCCACCCCACCCCCACC